GTTCTTTACAAGAACCAAGTACTAGTGCAGCGGATCGCAATCCGCTGCCTCTAAAAGTGCTTAAAAGCCTTAATTAAGGCAGACGAACACTTCTGTTCATAATCGAAACTGACGTTTATTTTTATTTTTATTCTAATAGTAAAAATTTAGATTTTCCTAAATATACTAAATATATACAGTAAAATCTAAATACATAACTACTGGCTACCTAGCCCCGTACCGTATTCTTATTTGGGTGTGTGGTCACATTATGCACATCTCATGTGACACACAATCCCCTGTTATTAGGGTTCGTGTTACCCTGTTACACCCTCCCCCATTAAAATTGAGAGCATTTACAGTTCCAATCAATTATTGCCTCAACGAGGCTCGCGTGTCTGTTAGACACTGCAACTCCATTTGTTGAAACAAACAACTTCCTTGCTCAATGAGCCCTGTGTCAATGTCACGAAATCCATCAAGTCTCGCTGGTTCTGACAGCGATCATGGGCAGAGCCCAACTTTATCTTCCGCACTCAGTGCAACGTCGGACAGTAAGTGCGTCCGCAGCACCGAGGGGTGTATATCCTAGGCTCGATGAGCACAAACGTCGCATTCCGCGCACGCTTTCAGTGCCGAGTTGCCTCGTTGAGGATGTGGTCGACTATGAGTCTGACACCTCTTTTCCTGCATAAGATGACGAAGAAGGCGAGCTGCACCTGCAGCGTGATACGAGCCCAGCTCGCGCCTTGCGGATCCCATATCCGTTCCCTGACTTCTCGTCAACTGAGGAACGTGGTGTAATTACCAATGAACTCGACGGGGAACAGAGGCGGCAGCTTGAAGCTGCCCATAAGGCGGCTCTTAAGCGCACTTATCCACGGTCGGTCATTGACCCTCGTGTGGTGTATGATTTCCGCCCAGCGAATCCCGCTGTGGCAGCAAAGGACGCGGTAACTCGATCGTTACGCGTCCACATCATCGGACCCCCGGCAAGAATGGATGATGAACTTGCCATACGGAAAGCTCTCCAAGCTCGTTTCTTGGTCCCTCAAGAAATTCCGTTGGAAACTTATCGCACTCGTCTGAGTGCCCAACGAGGTGACACTCGTGTACCCGCAATGCGGACAATACCTGTAGTGCTCGCCCCTGGCGAAAGCGCTACAGATGATGAAGCGCTCTTTGAGTGATGGGTGTAACAGCACCGGAAATTTTCCTCGCTGCATAACCTGCAGTTGAGG